CATTATACAGCGTGTTCATAAAACATTGTAAATTTTGATGTTTAACAAATGGCTTTTTCATAAGCTTTTTAAATGGAACACCCTGTACATTATGTGCTGATTGAATTGTCCGTCAAGTTCTCTTTAATTTATGTTAAGTAGTATTTTAGTAGTTTTCGTGATATTCACAATTTAAAGGTTTAATAAAATATGCCATTATTGTACTTAATATTACATTCTATCTATATTAGTCAGTTTTTTTTGTTCTTTCTATTTTTGTTTGGTTAATATCATGTATTCAAAAACGTTTATTTTGATTTATTTCAGTTGTTTTAGGTTTTTGGTAAACATATATAAAAATAAAAAACAATTTAACATTAAAAAAATTGTTTAAAAAAATGTATTATAAAATATTCATGAGAGCTCCATTTATAAGAATCTTCTGCGGTAGATTCCTCATCAGAGAAATTCTTGTCAGCCATGTGGGGGTCAGTAGAAATCAGCATTTCTAAGGCTTCTTTACTATGTAGCTGAGCAATAATCTATTCATTACGTCTATATTGCATTTATTCTGCCGGTACAGTCGAATATGTTTGTTACGTGCCTCTGCTGCTTCCTTTGATAACAACCCTATCGGCAAAAAAATATTTTCTATAACAATTGCCACATGGATTAGGATATTGTGCATAGTAGTGATGGGATGCCATGGATGTAAATGTATGTACAGCAGTCTCATACCCATGTAGAACAAACTTTTTAAAATCCACTTTATGCGAACTTGAAATAATTTCCAAAATTATTTTTAACCGTCTTATTAGACTTAAATCCACACCGGTGATTTCAGCAGCAACTGCCATGCTTTTACAGGAATATTGTATGCTTGTCAATACCAACAGTTTTCTTTATGTTGGGATTATTAAATTCCTTTGGTGTCACACCACAAATGTAGCATCTCAATCCTTCATTTTTTTCTCAATGATTGACGCTGTTCTGGACTTAATTGTTTAAGTACATTTACTAAATACATAGCCAAACGCTTTGTTGTGTGGTCCAATAAATCCTGCAAGGTACACTGTTGGAAATAATTCACGAGCACACCCTATATAATCTGAACGCGTGAAGATAAATCCATTATATTTGCGGAGCATAAAGATTTATTCAGCGAGTTTAGAGTTTCTCTGTCGCGGCATTGTTGACTGAGCCGCCCTTCCAATTGGAACATTCCGTCGCTATGGAGACTGAAGTGGGTGAGATATACCGGTCGTTTTTAGTGTGATGTGAGGGACCAGTTTGTTGCCGTACTCTGTGCGCAATGGAAGGGCGATCGCGTTACTTAAGCGAGTTTGAGCGAGAAATGGTTGTAGGTATGCACATTGTGGGTGTATCGCTCCGTGAAATTGCTCGTCATCTCGAGCGGTAATTATTGGCAGTGCAATGGGCATGGCGAGGTGTGCATGGATGCGTGTTATATAGACCTTTGTGGAAGAGTACCGTATACGAATGCTTCCATGGCCAGCTCGTTCTCCTGATCTGAATCCGATCGAACATGTTTGGTACATGATTGGTCGGAGACTTCAACGCTGTCCGGCTCCCCCGGTAAACTCCCGCTACAATACAGCGACTTATCAACTCTATGCCACGTCGTGTAGCGATGGTACGAGCTGCTCACGGGGGATACTCTCGCTATTGATATATTCCCTCCCAGCAGAGGTACACTCTGCATGTGAGGATAAGTTACGCTACTTTAGTACTACTTCCATACCAAATTTCATTGCGCTAGACACACGCGTTCAGATTATACAGGGTGTGCTCGTGAATTATTTCCAACAGTGTAATTTCAGCGCATGTTTCAGTTATCCGATACGCATCTTTCGCTGGGTAGCAAGTTTTTCTACAACAATGTGTAGCTTGGATAAAAACTCTTGTTGCTATCTCTTATTATTCCATACTGTCGCCTTGAAAGATCAGCTTCCACAAACATTGACGGAGCGGCTGTCGGATCTAATTGTGACTGCTTTTCACACTGCTTGCTAGCTTTGTATGCCTTTTGATATCCTTTTGCAGTTTGCGGAAACTTAGAAAAGTCTTTAAGAATATTGGACGCAATTCTCTCTCCAGAACTTTGAAGGGATGTCTGAGCAGCATGCATTAACACATCTTTTTCTACAAACGTCCTGTATTTTTCTGCTCTTACTAGTCTCACTTGATTCTGCAAATGCCTTTGTTGGATGACTAGAAGAATGAGGTTTAGCCGTAGACGTCAGAACTTAAAGTCAGTTTGCCTATTAATTTAATTAATAACTACTTGTTGTGTAATGTTTAGTAAGTTCATAGTTTGTTTCTGCATTTCCTTCAAATAGCTTATTTAATAAGAAAAGGATTTATTGTTTAATAAATGCTAATATTTTAATTAAAGTTAAATGCACTAATTAAAGTACTGATTTACAAAAAAAAATGATAAAAATAGACAGAATGTAATATTAGGTACAATAATGCCATATTTTATTACACATTCTTCTTTAAATTCTAAATATCAGGAACAGTTAGACATATGACATGCTTATCATTAATTAAAGGGAACTTGATAAGCAATTCAACCAGCACATAATATAAAGGGTGTTCCATTTAAAAATCTTATGAAAAAGCCCTTTGCCATCCAATATCTTAGGATACCTTCATCTACCTACTGGCTATTATCTGGTGTAGTTTAAGGGCAAAATCGGCAAAAATGTTACTTTTGCATCGTTTTTAAAAAGATCCTGTAACGGATATATTTTGGAAAAACAATTGAATATCTCAGGAACTATTAACGCAGTCAGTTTACAACATATACGGTTAGATAAACAAATTTAGTAGTATTCATAACCTGATAAAATATATAGGATGTTCTATTTATTTGTTTCTATTCGGGATACTGATAAGTCACCCTGTATAAATTGTTTATAATACAGAAAAGTAACATTGTTCTTCTTTCTTATCCAGTTTAGTACCATATCAAACTATCTTTTTAAAGAAGTTATAGAGGAGAACACCGTTAAACTAAAAGCGTTTACAGTAAACCTTAAGGTAGCTGGTTTTCAACGAGTTAATTTACCGTATATTTTAGCTCTTACTATGTATATAATCCTTAAGTCTGCTCACGTTTTAATCTTGATATAAAAAAAGAGTTACTGTAATCCTTGATTTAATTTCAAATTTTAAATAGCTTTTAAAATCGATACTTCAGAGCTGAGGATAGGATAAAAGCTTAAAGTACCAACAGTGGTACGTAACGGGAAGCGTCTTCGGTTTGCTCGTTCTATCGGAAACAAACTATCGCCTCGACTGAGCTATGAAGGGAACATCGTTAGGCTAAAAGTGTTCCGGCAAACCGTAAGGTCGGCTTTCATCGGCTTAATTCGCCACATATCTCTGCTAGCACCTATTCGAGTTCAGTGTTTTACTTAGCATCCGAGCCATTTGTCTTTGAAATATATTATGCCCGGCGAGAGCCGTGGTGGCGTACGTAATTCTTGAAAATATCGCATCTATCCGGGAAATGAAAATTGCTTGCGTACCGACTCCCTTTTTGCGCGTAAATAATTCACCGGCGACTCCACCCAAAGTTTCAACAAACGGTGTGAATCGAAAATTGCTTTATACAGTCCCACTATCTTCGATTACTATTCTCACATGAAGATTTATCTGCTTCATACATTCCTAATACACAATATCTTCCATCTCTGATAAACTAACATAAATTATAGAATTTCGTCTCTGTATTAAAGTTTATATTCGCATTGGAAATTGGTTTATAAGATAAAGCTTAGGATCTATCTTCTATTATTATTCTGATACATGGAAACATATTCATGTATGTATATGTAAACTATAGGTTGATATACAGCCACTAAATAAAATGACTTATGAATACTTGCTTTATAAGGTTCTAGAGTGCAAAGTAGATAAATGGAAAATATTGTTAAAGTTATCGTTTATACTTGGTTTAAGAACAATATGCATATTTATGTACTGCATGTAGTTTTATATATACTTTAGATCGGACGATTCACAGGGTAGACATGAATATTCTAGCTTGAAATTTGAGGTAAAACTTATCGGGCTTAATCAGATGCAATCCCGAGGGCCTTACGGAACTATTTCTGAACGAAACTGGCCAATTATAAATTCAAATTTTGTTTCTTTGTTTCTTTTACGCGGCAATTGAAATTTCGACCTAATTATTTTCTTTTGGTTGGGAATTAATTTGGGAATTCTTTACCTCAATTAGGACACTTTGGAATTCATCTTTTAGAATAATTAGGACTTCTTTTATTAGGACAATTTAGTTAGGTGCTCCGAACAATTACATCGGTTAATTGCTATTCTGGAAATTTTAAATCGGCTTCTTGATGTCGATCGAACATAGCCGAAAAATTTTCTCGGAGAGTGTCTCATGCATTATTAAAGGAACCGTCGTAGAATACTTTCGCCCTCTTAAAGGAACATATGGCAGTATAAGAAACGAGCAACGTGAAACTTTCGACTACGAACGTTAAGATGTCGTTTCCCTCATTAATTACTAAGCCTTAAAACAAAAGAGGGATTGTCTGAATATGAAGTTTCGGCAAGTTTTATTTGGTAGTTTACGATGAAGGGGGAGGGACAATTAACTGGGGGAGGGTTTAAGAGCTCTGATTGAAGTGTCAAGGAGAGAAGCGTCGTCAATCCATCACCGTTTCCGCATGCAAAACGCCTCGTATCCTAATAAAGCGTAGCCGGCACACCGTCGCCGATATTTTAAACCATCAATTACCTTATTAATGCGAAAAGTGAAATCAATATCCGCCCTTCGTGAACGGTTGGAGACAAAAGCAGCCAAAAATACCGATTGAATAATAAAATCATAACGGAGTGATAGCAAATTTATGGTAAATCATCCGTAGATTACCCCGCGTCGCATGCTTTGCCATTATTTATAACCTCCGCCACGATTTACGATTACCAATTTCGTTTTTTTTTTATTTATTTTTTTCTTACAGACATCACCGGACTGCAGGTTCACAGCGTTGTCATAAAGGCCGGCGAGAACAAGTCCATATCATGTCCGGGGGTCAACGAGCATTCCCTGGTACTAGCCCTCGAGTGGCTTTCGGTGACCAATAGACAGAAACTGGTTGAGTTCACCAGCGACATCACCACCGTCTGGGTCAAACAGAACAAGCAGAATCGTATTTCCCTCCTCCCGGACACCTTTGGTCTTAACTTTCATCCTGCAGCAGCAGAAGACAGCGGCGACTACATTTGTCTTGTCAACAGTCGACCAAAACCGGACGCAGTTGTTCGACTCATCGTTCAAGGTAAATAAAATAAATTATTTATTTCAAAAATCATGAAATATGTATTGTATCGTGGAGTTTTGTTAATAAATGACACTAATAGTCGTTAATAATTTATTTAAACTAAGCACTTTGTTCACAATCAAAGACGTATCATCAGACGAATCTGTCGTAATTTAGATTAAATCAAGTTATTATGATTATTATCATCAAGCGTCCATTGTTGGACATAAACCTCCCCTATTCTGTTCCATTCGATTCTATTCTGTGCTCTCTGAATCCAATTCCTTTGGCGTCTACTTCGTCTGTTCGCTCGCGGTCTCCACTTAAGCAACCGTTTTGTCCACTGCTTATTCTTCATTCGCGCGACATAACCAGCCCAGTTCCACTTAAGCTTTGCCCCAATGTTAACCACATCATTTAGGCCAGTTCTTCTTCATAGATCTTAATTTCGTATGTAGTCCCTCAGAGTTACACCCAGGATCGACCTCTCCATCTATCTTTGCGTTATTTGGACCCTCCTGGCAGTGGCTACCGTTAATGTTAAAGTTTTGGAGCCGTATGTCATAGCCAGAAACACGCATTGATGGAATGCCATTCTTGGCCTTTTATCTTAAAGATGCCTCTAACTTTCCCGTAGGCTTTGATTATCTCTCGATACACGAACATCATAGCCAAGATATACATAGCTGTCAACCCGCTCAATCTCATTATCCCGAATGTTGATGTTAGAGCTGGGAACAAGATTTGTCATAAATTTTGATTTCTTCTCGTTAATATTTAGACCGACTCTTGCACACACCTCCTTTAAGTCGTTCAGCATTAGTTTAATCTCCCCAAGGCTATCCCAAATAAGAACTACCGTATTTTCTCGAATGTAATCCGCACCTTTTTTACAAATTTTATGTGCTCTAAAATCAAATGCGGATTACAATCGGGTGCGGATTAGAATCGCAGTCGTATAGTTGCAATTTGGAAAATAGTAAAATAAAATCACATTATAACAATAACACTTTATTAAGGGTTTTAGAACGATATTTACAATTTTATGTATCATTTTCTTCCCATATTACCTCATCTTCGGATTATACAAAACTTCTTAAATGATGTTATAATATTGTTTTCAGGGATTGTTTTCCATGTCGCATACACTCACTGAACAAGTTCATAAGCTCCTTTAATTGCTCCCGGTTTTGTTAATTCTCGAGTTTGTTAATATACATATACATACACAGGTTGTAGTATGGATGTTATTCCACCAGGTATTATTATTGTGACAAGAAGTCTAAACCAAGGGCAATCATCTATGATTAATTAATATCCTTATTTAATAATCTTCCTGGTCTACGACTCCATTCTTTTTGTTGTGCCCTAACTAGGACGTCATTCGGGAAGTCTTTCAGATTTCAGAATGGTTTTTTTCTCAATAGTAGTAATGTCAGCAATTTTTCCCCATCACTTGTTACTGCTAGCATCAATGTGATGCGCAATTTTTCGCAACCATTCGTTTATAAAGAAATTTCCCACACACCTCTTCTTTCCAGTGTGTAATTGGGTGGCATTTTGTTGACATTTACAGTTTGAGACAAATTGAAATTTTCTTGAAAATCAGTAGGAGCTTTTGGGAAATTGTAGCTCTGCGCCTCAACGATAACACCATTCGGCGCATAAATCCTACAGTCCAACCTTAGCTAGTATTAAAAATTTTTTAGTCCCTCCTTTCGTTTTTCTTGAGAGAACTAGAAAACTGCCTCATCAATTTCATGAAGTCGTCTCTTCTTTGGCCCGGTAAATTTTTTGCACGATGCCTCACAGTCTGCAATAGCTACCTGGTCTTTCCGCAACAGCCGCAACGTTACTCTCATTATCAGCAAAAATTGTACCAGCTTTTCGATTTCCTTAACACTAACTTAATAACATCTCTTTAAACTTTGATGTATAGACGAACCTTTTAGATTTTTGCTACTTTTTTTTATAATTAATAATAATACGCTATTACTATTTATTTTTAAAATTATATTTATTTTCCAATTTTTTCTGGCTTGGTAAATTTAAAGTCTAGTCTAATAAAAACTCGTCGTAAGCAAGGTTTCTTTAGGTGCATCAGCGTCAGTCAACGGAAAAAATATATATTTATGGTTAACAACAAGCATCGCATCGTTTTGGTGTTGTCGAATTGCTCAAAGAAAGATGCGGATTACATTCGCAAACAAAATTTTTTTACCGCTATGCATTTTTAAAATCGGGGTGCGGATTAGATTCGAGTGCGGATAAGATTCGAGTGCGGATAAGATTCGAGAAAATACTTAGGCATTTGCCATCAATGTTTATGCCTTTTTGTCCAATCCAGTTGTTGAAATGCACTCTCCATGACTTTGATGAACAATTTGTGTTCAACAGTGTATCGCCTTGTTTTACTCACAATCAGTACTTTACTATTTCTACTCTCTTCAGTACTTTCATGCAATTTTACCGTCATTGTAGGTATTATAAATAAGTTTGGTATATCGATAATCGACTCTGCATTATTGAAGTGCTTGCAAAACTGCTATCAACTCAATTTAAATTAAATTTTATAAATACATCTAAATATATCCAGAAAATTTACCCTTGAAAATAAATATCCGGGTATTTAACAACACTGTTCACAATAGAATCTACAACTCTACGTTTACATTACGTTCTTTTTTTTTAGGTTATGTGTTGTTGTACGTTTGGTTGCCTAAAACCACTTGTTCAATACTAAACAAAGTAAAAGTAAAAAAATGCAATAAAAGTTAACAAAAATAAATGTGAAGAGTTGTGGTTAATAGTAAAGCAGTCCTCAAATATTTCCAGTTAGAAACTGAAAGAATCGGTCTCCGAGTAGGATTTGTGCGCTCTGCTTAATTATATCTGCAGCGTAATGAAGACCTTCGACACAAAAAAGTCCTAGTTAACGTGGAAAAAGTGCAGTCGCGATAACCGGAATGGTGCTGCAACACGAAGAGGTTTTTTTTAAGTTTAATGGCGGCCGGATCCCACCTGCGTAGACGTCAGATGCTTGGCCGTTAATGGGCGGGCATTATTATTATTTTCTTTTTTTCGACTTTCACAAGTAAGCTCGATTGCCTCACTTACAAAACCTATAAATTAGAAACGGCGCGTCGGGTAAGTTGGATTTCTGCAACTTCGGTGATTAATTAGGGCTTATTAATTTCAAAACTCCAACCCTCTACCATTTCTCAATCCCGAATGAAGTTGCCCACCCTGTCAAACATGATACCCGACTGTTAATTACGTATCTACAGCAGCATCACCCTCCGCATAAAAGACTTTAAACACCTTTACCATTCAAAAATTTGTACGATAAACTTTGACGTTTTTCCCTTGAAAATATACTCACTTCGCATACAGAGCGAACGCTACTCATGTATTCCTTTCAGCATGGCTCAATCAGTCTGCATTGTTAAATCCCGGCCACAGCGGGTTCACGCACGGATACCTAAATGTAGACTTTGTTATGCTTTGTGCAAAAACATTGTTTTCAACCCGCGTAAAATAATACTATCAAATTTCCGATCAATTACCCATATTTTCCAGTTTTTTTAAATACTGACATAAACCTCGCTTTAGTAGTTAACTAAACTGGGAGAGACAGGGAATTGTTTGTTCAACCTAGTTGTATTCGATACAAATACAAACCGTTTTAATTCAATGTCGCGTAATCATATTTGTTATAGATAAAAATACTATACAGCATAATAAGTTCGTTCTATTTATTCATATATTCAACTCGTGTTTTCAAAGAATATAATAAGAAAAAGATAAAAAGGTATTATGTTTGAATCAAACACAATCTCTAAAGAAATCAAATATAATAATATACTATAATAACGACTAACATTCTTCATTCCACCACAATTTCTGATCCAGTACTTTATTATCTCACATCTTATTCGGTGGATTATATTTTCCCATATACTATTATTTCCTATGGGAGATAAATATTGCAAATACTTAGTTTACGCTCTATGAAAAAAAAAATTATAAATACAATCGATACATGACAATCCTTTTACTCCGTTTGATGCCTGCCGGTCGGATTCAATATTTATGTTATTCTGGGGTAAATAAAGAAACCTCAAGTTTATTGCATGATAATAGAAAAGAGCAGTGAATCTATTCATGAGCATAACTAATTAGATGACGGTTATTAAAAACAATTATTAAATAATAATTTATGTCATTTCTGGGTTTGAAATTCTGTAATTGACAAAGCTTCTCCAGGTGGCAATCATGAAATGCTGCTTTACTTCAAGCAGTTCTTTGAAATACTTATAATATGAATGATCTTGCCAAGCATATCATCCGCTTTCTTTCTTAGGAGTTGGCAGTGTATTTAGGCAGACCAAAAATCTATCTTTTCAGTGGTGGATACCAACATTCGTTGCACATCACGGATTTTGTGATATTCTCTCTTAATGTGCCACTGGGTAACTCTGCTTACTAAAAGCGATGCTCCTGCCTGATGTCCGTAGGCCATACGAAGTTAAATTACCATTGCAGAATTGAATATGGCCGATTCTCACAATACCTGGTCGATATAAGAAACCGGGTCATTCACCGCCATCTAGAATTGCTACATGGCTGAAACTTTGGATGAAGGTTTATGAACGTCTGTTGAGTCGATGCGTTAACCAACTGCGATCTTTTGGGTTTTGATGTGTAGCATCTTGTCTGCAAAATCTACTCCCTAAAACATATAAGAAAGATCGAGTATTGCTAGATCGAACTTTTTTATAAATACTTCACTTCGTGTCTGGCATCTAAAATTATAATATATATATATTGTAAAACATAATTTATTTATAAAATATAACAAGAAACTTCTTTCAAAAAATAACCATACCACATGGTGCATACTATTGCTATGTACACTTGAGTATCAAGCTTGGATATCCTTACACTTAACTTCCACTTATTACTTATTACTTGGATACACTATGTTCTTTTAGTTTAATTTCATGTTTTTGCCAGTTCACCAATTCCTGCAAGTACTTGTTTGTTATCCTTAACCAGTTCTTCAATTTTGTTTCCTAGATTTTCCTTCTTTTGAATTTCTTCTTCTCGTTGTAGTAAATTCAATTTTTCTATTGCTGGCAGGTCTATGATACAGGTTGTATTTTCTATACCAACTACTTCAAAGTTTAACTTGACAGTTTTATTACCAACTTTTACATCCAACTCTGTTTCACCAACTACACTCAGAGACATAAAAAACGCATCACCTAAAATGATGACCAGTTTCAAACTGCAATAACTTTTGAACGTATTGCTCGATTTGAATAAGTTTTTTTTTATTTGAAAGGTCTACCCTTTGCCAATATTTCTGTAATTCGTCCCATTTTGGCGCTCTTCAATTTCAGTAATGGTCAATAACGCTAATGCGTGTTTCCTTCATACAGTTTGAATCTTGCTGTGGGGTGCACCGACAAAAGAAAATAATTTTAATCATAAGGAGCTTGTAGTCTCGTCTGTTCTGATCACTTCTGTTTTTTGTTCAAGTTTCTATTGTTCATCCTTCGAGGCATACTCGAATCAGATTCATATCCCACATGTGTTCTGTGGGGTTTAAATCAGGGTACGTGCAGGCCATTCCATTGTGCTTATATATAAATCATCCAGGTATTGGGACACTATGCGGGCTGTATGGGAACGTGCGTGCATTATCGTGCATGAACAAGAAGTTGTCACCAATAAATGGGTCGAAGGGAACCACGTGTTCAGCTAAAATTTCTTCAATATACCGATTCGCATTGAGATTGCCGTTGATAAAGCAAAGCTCCATACGTGCTTCGAAACGTATTCTCCCCCAAACCATTACAGATCCTCCCTGGTATAGTACTCTTTCAGAGAAGTTGCACTGAGCATAACGCTCTCCTGCACTTCTCCAAACTCTCTCTCGACCATCTGGAGAGTACAAGCCGAACCTCGACTCGTCTGAGAACAGTACGTTTCGCCACTCTACATTGGTCCGCTGAACATGATCTCGTGCAAATTGTAATCGAGCAACACGATGTTCTCGAAGAAACTGTGGTCCAGTTGCTGGTCTCTGTGATCTCAACCCTGCTTCTTCAAATCTCTTTCTTACTGTGGTGTGTCTCAACTGGGGTTGTGTGGTTCCTGACCCAGGTCGTCTGATGAAGGTACCAGTCTGCCGAAATCTTTGAATGTCACCAAAGCCACTGCCTGAGCAACTTCTGCAAGACTTAAAGGCATTTTTCTTGTTTAGCAACAGTCAACGACGTTAACGACACTAAACGTCATTGAAATGTTTTCGTCAATTTCCATGACTTGCTTTAATTTCTGATGGCGCAGCCGAATAGGCTGCGTTATCTTTTAGAGCTTCTAACTTTGGTGATAACAACAATAGAAACTTGAGCAAAAAACAGAAGTGATCAGAACAGACGAGACTACAAGCCTCTTATGATTAAAATTATTTTCTTTTGTCGGTGCACCCCACAGCAAGCTTCAAAGTGTAGGAAGAAAAGACGCATTAGCATTATTCACCATTGCTGAAATTAAAGAGTGTCAAAATGGGGAAGGCGCCTACAGAAATATTGGCAGAAATAAAAAAAATCTTATTCCAATCGAGGAATATGTTCAAAAATTATTACAGTTTGAAACTGGTCATGATTTTAGGAGATGCGTTTTTATGCCGGTGAGTGTATCTTTCTAACGTCAGCCCTAACTGTTATAGCAGTTTTCTTATCTATTATATTCATCTCTGCTCCTGTGTCTATTTTGAATGTTACTTTTTTATTTTGAATATTTATGATTTGAGTCCATTCCTTTACTTTATCCACTCTAAACTCCATAAAACTTCCAACAAATAGATTTGTTTCTTCCTTTTTTTGCTCTTCTTCGGTGGATGCCCTTTTGAAACCTTTTATCTGTTCTCTCTTGACTATTTCTCTTTCTTTCTTTATTTTGCACATCATATTTTCGTCTAGTTTCTTACACTTCTGCTAGTTGCTGATGCTTTGCAAAGTACAGTCCTCCAGGGTTAATTTGTCTTCTCTTAGAAGTCTGGCTCTAACGTTATTATCTCTGAGTCCACATACTATTCTATCGCTAATTAATCCATGTTTCAAATTTTCGAAATTACAGTCTTTGCTTAATTTCTTTAAATCTGCGATGAAACAACATTTCTTTGCCCCGTTTTAGTAGTACTTTCATCGATTCCAGACGCAGACATGTACACAATAAACTTGTTTTTCCATCTTCTGAAGCAAACTTAAATCTTCTGGTGGTTTTAGTTGATCCATTCTTTATTCTTTGGAATAGAAAATTCTTTTTCTTTTCTTTGTGGGCACGTTAGCAATTTATTTTCTATTATTGTTGTTTAGTTCGCAGCGCCATGTAACGTTTGTTTGTTATAAGTTTATGGATAGAAAAATAAGTACTTTACTTTATAAATCATTTATTAAAAGTAACTTATAAAACGTCTGAACTCTATTGTTAACATAACCTTAACTAATGACAGTTATCGTTGACAGTCTCTTACTTACTACTAGATGGCGTAACCATATATGACAAAACAACCATATCACATTGTGCATATTGTTATGTACAGGGTGTTAATTAATTATCAAATAATTAATTATACAATGCGCATCATACGCAAATCACGTATTGAAATAAAAATGTTGTGATATTGGTTGCATACTTGCAATGATGACGTCGGGTACGATAATTAATTAACACACTGTACACTTGAGTATCAAGCTTGGGTATCTTTCTAATACCAAAAATGTAAACTTTATAAATTTAATAATTCAAACATCTTTTAAGAAAATATTTGTTGGATTGTGTAAAAGTCGGGTAACCTTTTAGAGAAGGTCCGTCAATTGATTTAGTTCTGGGTTCGTTCAGGACGGGCGACTTGAAATGGCGGCTCTGGTTGACAATGAGACGCGTTCCGCACGGACTACCGCTTTAAGCGTATGGGGGACACGTGTGCCGTCCTTCCGGTGTACTGGCAAGTGCCTGAGGACTTCATGCGTGCGATTCAGCGCCAATCGATTAAGCAGAAACCTTTATGGTCTCGAAGACCGTCCATCTGACGTCGGTTTACAGTGCGTGCAACCGACTAAAACATTAAAAGCTGTGTATTCTCTTTACAGATGTACCCGATCCACCCGGAAGGCCTCTCATCATCAGCTTTACATCGAGATCCGTAAATTTGTCGTGGGCTTCATCTCAAGATACCCATCACAGTTCAGTCACACACTATATTATTCACACAAGGTAAGTAAAAATTTGTATTTGAAAGGGGTGTATCAATTTAAAGAAATACGATTTGAAATTCTCATAAATGGTGATGATAATTCCGGTGCCGTGAATTCGAATCGGTTCAGGTTCCGGTGGAAGGCGACTCGGTTTTCTGATCACGTTTAAATCGGACATCGGATCAGAAGTTATTAACAAAAGAATGTCGAAGTGCAAGGATAAAAGTGACAATGAGAGGAGGGCGTTGGGAAGAGTTTATTGTGTCAAAGTCCTTTTTGATTGGATTCAGGGGAAATGAAGTGTAAGGGTATTGAGGTTGTATTTAAAATATAAAGCAGGGGTTGGTAGTCGGGGAATAAGAAGAAGGATCCGGGAAATGTTTCGGTGGCGCATTAGCCATTGTTTTCGCGTGGCAACGGGGAAATATTTTATGGTTGTCGCGGCCGGAGTTTTGCATACGCATATGTAAACCTGTCTTTTACAGCGGCAATGAAATTTACAGGGGCGAAGTTATTACCGGGACACCTCTAAATAAAGAGGACTAATAAACACGCCCTTACCGACAGTATTTTTTTACGCATCGATTCCCTAGGAATTTTATAACTTTCGGATGGCGGTCGAGAAAGCTTTTGCGATTCGGGGCGCGTTTAAATTTTACTTTGGCGCGTTGAGTTATCAAAAAATAGTAAAACTTTACGGGACCGGCACGCGCCAGTAATAATTTACTACCCAGGCCGCCGATGAAACAAAAACAACCCCAACTGAAAAAAAGAGCTTCTATTTCAGGTTTTCCTCCCCGGTGACGGCTGAATTATTTCGGAAATCCGATGGGGCACGCGCCATCCACGTACCGTTATTTAATAATTGCTGTGGCTGGCTGTCGAGACTCGCGTCGGCGCGTCGATTAGTTAATTCAAATTCGAGCTTTCGAGCGAGCTGAATATAAACATTTCCGAGTGTGTTCAGCGATTTAAAACAATACGCCCCTGTCGCAAGCGAGAACTCGCTGACTGCCAACTTCCAGGCCACAGCTGATATGCTCGGGACGTAATTTCAATAAAAGCTACCAACGGATTTTTCGCCTTCAAACGAAACTACGTCAACTATACAAAGGATTACGAAAACGGAATGAGTTCTATTATGGTTATTTTATACTCGTTATAGTTAAAAAATTCAAAGCAAGTTTTTTTATTTATTTAAGCTTTTATTATAAGAATATATATTATTTTAACTTCTATTCTGAAACAATTTTTTTTCTCCCAGTTTTAATGAAAACACAAGAACTTTGCTACACTGAACACACATGCTTTTTTAATAAAAATAATGTAAATGTACTATATTCAGATAGCACTAAAAAAAATTTAAAATTTTGAAACTGTAGGGTAAATCAACGGTACCGAACGAGAAAATATTTTATAATCTTGCGATTGGCGATAAAAATTTTCTCATTAAATTCGCGAAGGGTACTGAATAACAATTTGGGGGTAGTCATAAAAAAGGGGGAAAAGTCCGGGGCGCATTACGCAGCGATTTTTTTAGCCGACGACGTAGGAAAAGTCAGGGAGTCGAACGGCGATATAAAAGGTTGGGATTTTTAGTTTTTTTCGCTCGTCCGAAGAGCAGTTTCGACGCGTTTTAACGTAGGATAACCGCGGTCTTATCTAAGATCGACTCCCAGTGTGGCGGCGTTTTTAAAGCCGATCCAATCCTCGAAAGGTTGATTATTTGCGACGTTTCGTCGCTGTAAGTTAGATAACACATTTAAAAATTGAATTACAAATGCTTGGCCGGATGCATTTAGACAAATTTGCATACGAACCGCTGTTTAAACGGATAGACCGTCCGATGGGAACACAGGTCCGCATGCAATGCGCGATATTTCAAAACGACACGAAAGAAACTGGAATATCTTATTTCTGGTGAACGCCCTACTCTCGTCCACTTCGAAGAATTCAAATTTCCGCCACCATTTTTTCCTTCGCTTTCGGCTATCGATCAGCCTGGCCACAACTCGTACCTTTTCCCCGCGTGCATTTGCATAAATGGCTTTATTTCTACCGTTTTTTAGTTTCGGCGGAGGCGCCGGGACGTTTCGCGGATATATACTAAAACGATCGAAGTAAATAACTGCCATTTAACGTATTGTTAATTGAATTCGTTTTCGCTTCCATTTTCACCATCAACCGTATATCAGAGTTGCAAACAAAACAACCCGATTTATTTATAGCCAAAAACTAAATCGAAATTTTCGACATTTCTAATCAAATCATTGTAACATTTCACAATTCATACAATTTACCGGACAACCTGACAATTCCAAACAGAGCTTAATCAATTTATGAACTACAATCGTGACTTTTAAAAGAATTTAAAAAAAAACATTTTATTTAATTTAGTTACAATGGTTCCGAATGGCTCCCAATACCATCTAATGATCTCAATTGTGCGCAATTGCTCCGAATACTCTTCAATTCTAAGCAATAGCTTCAAATGGTTTCCAATATTTATCAATGGCTCCCAGTAACTTCCAATTACTCCAAATAATGGCATAAACCGGGCTTTAGTAGTTAACCAATCTGTGAGAGGCGGAGAATTGTTTGTTTAACCTAGTTATATTCGATACAAATCGAACAGATTTAACACAAAATCAGCTAATTATGTTCGATTTGTTAATGCACAAAGTAGCTTTAAATATAATTACGAAGATAAAAAGGGCATATATTGAAATATTATTCATTGTTTGATGATGAATTTTTCAGTTGAAAAATTTATTTATATAATGTGTATTAATTTACTTAATTCTGGTGGTATTTTATTAAAATAAGATTATAATTGCCATAATAATGAATTAATTTGTATATTACCTTCATAACACAAACGTATATTTGGTTGCCTATGTTTTCATGTATATGTAGGTACTCACTTTAAAACAAGAACTAAATAAAACTTTAAAACAATCAAGTGAAATTACTTCTTCCATCGTTCTCTTGTTGTTATTAGTAGTGTAACATTATAGATAATTGCTCCAAAATAATAAAAACCAACTCCTCCACAACCATATTGACGTTAAACCTTCTGATGATGGCCTAATAAGCCGAAACATGTAGAGCAAATATTTTAATAAATACAGAGTGATTCTCAACCTATACGCATAAACTTGGGGATTTAAAGGGAAAATTGTAGCAAAAGCTTTTTAGTTTCCTAGATATCCGTGAAATTTACTTTCAAATCTAGAATACTAAAGTTGTTTCCAATATTTTTTATACACAATCGATGATGTTCAACTAGCTAACTATTGGCGGATTGTCTCGGTTGCAGTTTGTATCTGATTTCGCAATCCTTGCTCAGTATTAACTTCCTCAGCTGCAATGTTAAATTCCTGTTTTAACCACTGTATACCATCTTTTAAGTGACCCCAAAAATAAAAATCAAGAGGATTGAGGTCGGGCGATCGAGATGGCCAGGCCAATAGACTACCTCGACCTGTCCATCTTCCAGGAAGTTTCCAGTTTATGCGTATAGGTTGAAAATCATCTGTACATGAAATCCCTGTACATCGATCAACAGTAAAATAGAAAGTAATATTTATTCAATTTACCTTAAATAATATCGATGAAAATGGATTTATGTAATAATTTTAAGAACTAAATGGTGTAAACACAAAATAAACTTTGGAAATATAATCAAATCTTAAGTCTAATCTAACATTCGACGTTTTGTTTTGGCGATGTGGATTCGATGTCAATAGCCACGGTTGATGGCGTAGATGAAATAGGGGCCAGAGTTATTTGAATTGCAATTATTTTATTTTTTTTGTAGATTCCTTTATAACAAGCATAAGCATTTGATAGGTTTGTAATAACATTTTAACTTCTTTCAAAGTTACTATCATGTTTTTCAAAAAGGGTATTGCTTTGCCAAGGTGCATAAATACTTGAGATGTATTTTCGTTGCCAAACCTTCAGATGGTTCAATATTATTACCTTCACTGTTGACTACTTATTGTGTTTCAAAATTTTTTTTATTAAAGAAAGTGATCATTGCGAACCAGTTCTTCTGTTATTCTCTGTTACCCATTATTATTATTATTATTGCTGCCGGGCTGAGGGGTGCGGCCACTCTCGTTACCGCGACCTATAAGATCTATTGTAACTTTCGCCCTCCAAAGGTTTAGGGCAAATGTAGGTCCTTGATGAACCTTAGTATTGTCCTGAGGTCTTGAACCTTTATGTCGGTAGGTAACAAGGGAGTTTTACCGAAAATGTTGTGTCTTAGACGGCCTCTGGCGACACAATTGCACAATATATGTTCAGCAGTTTCTGACTCGTCGTTGCATAGTCGACAAGTTTGATCCTCAGCTTGTCCAATGTGGAAGAGGTGGTATTTTCGGGGCGCATGGCCGGTCAGGTAGCCTGAGAGCGTCCTTAGATCCCCTTTGCTGAGGCATAAAACCTCTTTGGTTTTGTTTTGCGATATCATAATCTTCGCTTATCTGTGACCTGGAAGTTCTTTCCAGCGTAAAGCTACCTTTGAGACCTTCCAGTTGTTGATTATTTGTTTTAGATGGCTTTTTTTGAAGTCCACAACCAGGTTGGGGTCCAATGAAGGGCGTGTTCGCTGCCTCTTTGGCCAGCTTGTCCGCCTTCTCATTGCCCTCAATCTTGCTGTGACCTGGAACTCACCATAGGGTAACATCATTGCCCCTAGCGAGTTCTCTCAGGTTGTTGGTTATCTGTGACAATGTTTATGGATGCACCTTTTTGTCCCTTCTGTAGGTTGAAAGCAGTGCAGAAGTTTATAGCAAGAACTTCTGCTTGGAAAATTGTTATGTTCGAGCTGAGAGGCAATTTGATGTGGCTATTTGGTCCACTGATGCCCATGCCTACTACAGATCTTACTGTCTTTGAAGCATCGGTGTACCAGGCTAGGGCTCCTCTCTTTTTCTCTTCTCATACCTATAGACACCCATTGAGTTTCCTAAATGGTCTTATTTTTTCTCCAGTTTGGAAATAAAGTCG